TCTAAGGTTAACCTTAGGTGTTAAATCTGTGAGGTTAACCTGAGTGTCTGTGTTTGGGGAGGTGGATAAAAGAAATTAATAATTAATCCTCTAAGGTTAACCTTAGGTGTTAAATCTGTGAGGTTAACCTGAGTGTCTGTGTTTGGGGAGGTGGATAAAAGAAATTAATAAATAATGCTCTGAGTACTTGAACGTGAGTAGAAGAAACTCTCTAACTTCTTCCTTTCTTCTTCCTTTGCTCTCTTAATCCCGCGCAACCTTCATTTTCGGAATGCAATACTCCCATTTCCATATAAACTATGGGACTGACGGAAAGGTCTGTCACCGCCCCGTTCTGCATGCTGCAGCGAAGTGTACCTCACATATTCAGGCTGAAAAGTCTGTCTGAGACCAAAACCTGTTATTGTAAGACCGTAGTTTTGATGGAGATTCTGTAAACTGTAATATTCAGAGAAACAAAAAGAGTGTTAAAAAAGTATCCAATCAGCAGGATTACCTCACAACTTTTAACTTCSAATTTTAGTGATTTCTAGGTAAAAAGCTGGATGAAACTGAGCTACACGAACAGGAGCACGTTCCATTCGAACAATCACACACTGATGTATCTCAGTTATAAACGTTCCAACAAAGACTGCATTTATTGTCAACTTGAGCTTTTATGTAAGCAAATAAGAGGCAGCCCACTACTTCACAGGTTATTCACTTTGAAGACAAATGATCTTGACTAAGAACATCAGTCAACTGYTGCAAAAGCTGACATTAGTCTGTGAGATTAATGGCTTTGAGTCAGAAAACTGTGCAGCACAACAGCACCAGATATACTGAGGGTTTAACTCTGTTTGTCGAGGGAGGGGGACGACTTGCACAGAGCGCTGCAGACCAGCAAACTCACTGGAAACTCAACTAGAGTCCCGCTTTGTTGCAAAGAAAGTTTTATTTACATTTCTCTTATCCAGTGCAACGTATAATTTAAAGCACCGCTTTCCATGATACGTGCGTTTCGCGTTTTAACCTTTGCGAAGTAGGGCACGGGGACCTGGCATCCCTCCCAAACCAGCTTCGCTCTACATAATCATATTAGRCCGGATTCCTCCGCGCGCCGTGCCATGGGAAAGTGACCCGAGTGTGAAAACAACAGTTGCGAGCACAAAGAATGTGTGTTTGATCTGCAGTTCAACAGTTACTGATATTAACAATGACTCTGGGCGTATGTGTGCATGTGCACGCTGCAGTGGCGCATGCCGTGAAGCKAGGTCTCGGCTGTTTGTTGACTTTGGACACACTCAACTCAAAATCAAAAGAAACCACGTGCTGATAAGAACTATTTATCCATCTCATTGTGAAAAGTGGCTTTAGAGAAAGTTTATTCACACCTGAGTTGGTGACAGTTGGGGGTAACGACACATAAACAGGTATGTTTGTGAGGCCTAACCTCCAGAGTAAGTCAGCTGGATCTGTTCATCTATGATCTCCAGGGCGATGAAGTCATGCTTCTCGTTGAACCTGCCGTTGTAGAGGAGCAGGGCGTTCCTTTCTCTGGTGGCAAACCTACAGATTGAGAACAACGTTATTTTTGGAAATAAAGTCACCCTTAAAGTGGACATATCACGCTTTTAAATCCTTCTTTTTCACATTTAAACCATTCAGTTCAGGTTTATATAAAGTGGATCTGAGTGTTACTTTGACTCATTCATGYGTGTTTGAGAAACCCTTGAATCTCGTGGGGTAGCCACGCTGCCTAAACCCCTCCTGGTACAAAGCTCCGCCTATTTTATTTACACAAAGCTCCAACCTGGAGCTCAGTCCCCAGCTGAGCTCCCACCCCAGAGAGCACCCCTCCCCCACACAGCTCCACCAGACTAGCAGCAGGGGAAATTTTCTAATTAAATTAACAAATCACAATTTATTCTATGGTATTGATGTTTGGGGGAAAGCATGCAAAATAATTACAAATCCTATTTTTGTTTTACAGAAAAAAAATTAATTACTGTCATCCATCAAATATATTATTTTATCAACTAAAATTCTTAAAATTCTCTGAGTTGGTTGATTATATTTTGCAGGTTATGTATACAGTTCATAAAAACATATCTTTAAACATCCAGTTTTGTTAAGAGAGAGTTGTTATAATCTTAAAGGGGCAAAGATGTTTATGAAACCTAAATTTAGAACCAGTTTGAAGGAATGTTGTAATTTAATCCAAGGAATAGGATTATGAAATRATCTGGAGAGTGRYGYTAAAAATGACAGATCAATGTTTATGTTTAAGAAAATGATAAAAGTTGGTTTGTTAAAGAAATATGAAATAGTGTAATGTGTATTCATACGAATTGTTGTTAGAGAAGAATTTGATGTTTTTGTTATTATTATTGTTATTATTACTGTTTAAGTTAATTTTCTTTTTTAAAGGGGCATATAAGATTTTTTTCTTCTTTCTGCTGACTTTCATTTTATTGTGATTTGTATTTTTTTGTAAATAGAATGTTTTGTTTTTAAATTAAATGAATAAATGATTTTTAAAAAATTGAATTAAACAATGATTTCATTGCAAAACATAGCTTAGCAAATTTCCCCACWGTGGGATCAATAAAGTTTTATTTTWTCTTATCTTATGATCTATTTTTATARCTTTTTCGCAAAAAAGTCGCTCAACATTGACGTACATGTACGAGAGGATGACTGGGCGATACAAGCAGAAACGTCTTGTAATAACTTATGTACTTGCTCAGAAAATGTACTTTCTGGGTCCGACATGTGATCATTCAAGTAAGGTTTAACTGTATATAATCACATAATGTTGCTTCCTTATTTTATTTAATGTTTTTTAAACAAAATACAATGCTCCTACGAAAGGTTGTAAACAGAATGAAGCATTGTTGTGATGAAGCGTTGAAGTGGCAGTGTCAGAAACGGTAGGAGAGACCAGTTTCAACGCGTTTAAACTTGGGGCTATGATGCAAACTCAATTTTTTTTTCTTTTTTTGATATATACAGCATTTTCACAATAACTAAAGGTAAAATAGTGACTTGATTGTGATATAGAGTTGAACTATGGGACTGGAAAATACACAATAACCCCACTTTAAAACAAAACAAAGGAGAATGGTGTCATTAAACAGCTTCAACCTGATGTTTCTGACTGGCTCTCCCATTCAAACAAACCAGAACTGAAAGTCTGAAGATCTTACAGATAGCTTTATGATAAAGCTCTCCATGTCTGTGCCKCGAAGAGGAAACAGCTTTCCTGTTTAAAAAGAATCACGGGCATTAACGGGTGGACGTAAGGTTCAGACGTGTCCTTGCGTCTGGGCAGAGGAGTCAGCCGACAGATGCCAGTGGGGCGAGGAGGGCAGGAAGTCAGGATGGCTGCAGTCAAACACTGATAAGGAAATCATCACACAGCCTTTCCTGTTTTCAGTGGACTGTAAAAATCTCTCCTRCTGTCGATGAATTCCAACCCCCAACCCTGCCTTGATTATTACCAATAACAAAACAAGAGGTTAGAGGGTTTTTTTCCTCTACTTAATGTGTGACGACTGCCGGTTAAAACTTGCCAAGCTGGGTTGTTTCCCCCTGCAGCAGTTTCAGTTTTATTTGACTGTGAGAAACAAGCCTCGTTAAGTTTTTTTAAAAACTCATGCGTGGTGCTGCGCTGCCTTCTCTGCGCTCTGTGTCTTCAGAGGAGGGAGCGAAGACACAAAGGGAAAAGCGTGTACGCGTCTCGACAAGCCCCAGCTGACACACTTTAGCTGACTAAACTCGGCTCTTTTTAAAAAAAAAAATACAACTCACACCCGCTGGTTGTGAATCACAGCAAGATATCCTGCTACAGTTTGTTTGTTTAAAAAGCAGAATTCAACTATTAAAAAACCCAGACGTTGTACAGTCAGCATTTAAACAGATACCTTTGGCTATGACATTCAACTGATGTTATTAACTTTTTTATTTAGAGTTATGTGTCAGACCATCTTTAAGTAAACTTTCTGTTCAAAATATGTTGGATAATAAATGAAAAGAAGCCAAGAAGAGGAGCTTTCAGTCAATGGAAATGTTAGGTCAGGGTCCGCAGATAAAACCCAGAAATAAATCAACTATAGTTTACCATTATTAATACCAAAAACAATCATGAATCATTAAAAATAGTATTACATAAATCAAAGTTTGTATATTTAATCCAGCAATATTTGGGATTACAAGCTTCTGCCACTGTTGTTTTGTTGGTCAGAAGCTGAAAATTTTGAGAAATACTGTTGAATTTCAGGGATTTTATCTCTGTTGACAGAAAAAAGTATTAAAAAAAACTATTTGCTGACCTTTAATATCTTACTGATGAGAGATAGAAGAGAATAGCCAAATTAAGCCTATTATAAGATTAGAAAACATTCTTTACAACCAATATACTGTATATTGTAGAGGAAATTAAAATTGGATTAAGTTTTTACTTTTAATGAAAATATTAGAAAAATCTTTTTGGAAGGTCACCAAATGTCACAAAAAGTTCATAGAATACAGATAAAATGTCTTTGTGTCGAACTACACTACAAAAAGTGTCCATCTAACCAAGTCTTACAATCTTATAGCCAGAAAAATAATAATTTTTTATCTTATTTTGAGACTAAGCAGGATGTGTTATTATCAATCTTGTTAGCCTCGAAATTTCTCTTATTTTAAGAAGTCTTATAAGTGCAGAACTGGCAGATTGTTTCACTTCATTTGAGAAGATTCAGACTATAATCAAGTATTTATTTAAATACTTTTTAAATGGCTAATTTCTGCGGTGTAAGTATTGCCTAATCTAATCCTCGTCACTTTCTTCTGTTTGATGTAAATGTTAACATATTCAAAGCAGAATTGGCTTCATATTGGTAATTATGGAGGGATGAGGTGGAAAAACTGCTTACGTGAAGGAGACGGTGAAGTGGAACCTCTGGCGCAGTCCTCTGAAGGTGATAAACGATTGTCCCGGGAAGCTGCGGGTGGTCATCTCACAGTAGGGGGTCTCGTACTCCTTCGGACACTGACAGGTGAAACCACCCGTGAGCCGGTTCACACACTGCCCACCGTTCTTACACACACCGGGTACGCACTGGCCCGAGGACGCATTCAGCTCACAATGTTCGCCTGTAAAAAATACATCGATTTTAAACTGGTTAGAAGTGTTGCCRTGTTTGTTTGGTGTAAAACAACACAGTGTCATCTGCATATATGATTTGTCTATCTTCTGACAGGCAWTGCTGTGTGGATGATGAATTGTAAGCTTTTTATTTTTCCTCTGAAGCGTGTTGGCCACAGTTGACTAAAACACAGACATCATGCAGCCTGTTTGGAATTTGTTTTAACAGGATGCCTTTGATTGTGAGTCGAGCTCATTTAACCACACACACAAAAACCTTGTTTCCAGTTTCAACAAGAGAACAGGCCTCTGTCGATCTAAACTTCAGGTGCACAGACAGCCCAGTGCACAATGYTCGCAATCAAAACGTGACAAAAACACAAGCCAAGATTCTTCAAGAYGGGGATTCATTGCCAGCACAGAACAAGCTGGTAAAGAAGAGAAAACAACACATACCAATATCTTTTATTGATGAAACCGGAGCTCATTAATGTTATTAAAGTGATTATAATWCAAAATATTCCTTACAGCAGTATTCAATCATGGGAAATTCCTCTTTAATGACTATRTTGATGTAGCTTTGCCTCAAAAAATCAGCTTCCTGGCTCTCATAATTTAAATTCCTCGGAGCTCTTCCTGACAGGAATATCTTTAGCTGTAGGTGCCCCTGTGTCCCGTCCAGTGTGTCGACCAGCTATCCAGACAACATCCCCTCATCCAGATCACACACAGACCCCACAACATTACAGCTTGGAACCAGCTAATAGCCCTTCTCTCCTCGATGTAATCCTTTTTTCAGAGGGAGAATTATAAGGATCTGATTCCCTGTAATGTAGGAAACCCAAGGAGAACAGAATGGGGGCCCCCACCGCTGTCATCGGGCCCATAATGGTTCCTGATGGGCTCCGACTACCAGGAGTTGAACTGTGACCTTCAAAGATGAGACACAGAGATGTGGCGGGGGGATATGGTAGATAAGTGGAGAAGAYGACATGAGCGGTAGGAGACGGAGGCGAGAAGCCCTGTGAGTGACAAAGGCAGGTAGATTCAGATAATTACATCAGATAAAGTAGAGGAAGCGAAAGAGACGAGGCCGAGTGTCGGGAAGGATGGATGGAGAAGAGGCAGGAGGACCGTCAGGGAACCACAACGCTCTATTAGAGAGAGACAGCAGGTATCAGATTTAGAAGGGGGAAGTATGAGAGGAAGATCACTGGCATAGGGAAATATTTTGCAAAGTGATTTCAGTCAGAACAATGAACGTTTCCAAGTCTTCCCACAGTCTTCAGCCACATGAATGCAGTACAGAGTTACTATCATTCACAGCTTTGAAGTCAAGCTTGGTTGTTAATTTTCTCATCAATGAAGCCTTGGTTTCAACTTAGTAAAGTGTTGATTTTTATGTAAACAAACTGTCATTGGTGGCCGTAGATAACCAGTCAGCTTCACTGACCACTAATCTGCTAAACAAGAATCTTAGCTCTGCTAATGCTAAACCGCTACACAGAAAGCAATATTTTTTAGTATAGTTTATT